TCCCATACCTGCTGAGGACTACCAAATCTTTTTCTCAGCCAAGTTTTCTCTCTTGAGTCTCAAACCTATATATTTATTAATTGAACAAATAATAAAAACATCTATTGACCACCTAGTATAGTCTGACATTGTACTGAAACTAAACACTCTAGATATATTATCTCTGTCAATCTACATGATACTATTTTGAGTTGGGTACTATTATAGATACAACGTTTACAAATAAGGAAAATAAAGTTTAGAAAGTTTAACTTAATCAAGTACACAGCTACTAAGTGTAGAGACATGATTTAAAGTCAAACAGTGGGACTCTAGAACATATAATCTTAATCACCTATATTCTTTATTCTTTCAATGAATATGTATCAACTGGAAACCACTGTAAGTCTATTATAGTTTGTACCATTGATAAGTAAATCAGACTATTCTCTGTCTTCATGGAGATAACAGTCTAGCAGGTATGACATGCAAACAAGATCATACAATTAGAATCCAATGAAGCACAAAAGATAAGTAAACAATAATAGAAGAATACATAGAATTTAGACAAGAAATCTAGTTAGACTTTCATTTTTTAAAGGAAATATTTGTTGAGCACATACTATGTGCCAGGCACTATGACAGGAACTGAGGATACAATGTTAAGCCAAACAAGAATTTTCCAGGCTGGGAGGGAGAATAGGAGAAACAAAAACAAGTGATCCAAGCAGAGGAAAGAGCATGTGCAAAGGCCAAGAGATAAAAGAGCGTAAACTGTTCCAAGTGCTGGAAGTAATTAAAAATAACTTTAATATATAATTGAAATGTAGGAGGGATGAGTTATGACACTCAAGACATAAAAAAAAGAACCAAATCAGAAAGGCCTGAGATGGCAATGTTAAAGAGCTTGGACTTTCGTATAATGGCAAGTTTGGTACTCACAGAGTATGTATGTGGACAGGGATATGACTGTATTTGTGTTTTAAAACTATTTCTTTGATTATAGTGTAAAGAATGGATTAAATGGAAGAATGACTGAAAGAAGATAAACAGGAGGCTGTTGCATTATTCTAGATGAAAGGTTATTATGGTCTGGATTACAGTGAGAAGAAAGAAAAGTAAACTCGTCCCAAAGATATTTATGAGATAGACTTGCCAGGAATTGGGGATATTCATTCATTTATTCCAAAAGAATTTATAAAATACCTAGTATGTGTCAAGTATTGTGCTAAATTCTAGCAGATACAATGATGTAGATATCATCCCTTGCCTTGATATATCTTACAGTACAGAAGGAAAGACAGATATGAGAAAAATTACACAAATAATTATTACAACTGTCTTTTAAAGGAGAAATATTGAGTGCTTTTACAGGAGAATATGATCCAGTTTGACCAATGTTAGGAATCATAGAAATCTTGAGGAAATGACTTTTTTATTGTGGTAAAGACACATAATATTTACAATTTTAACCACTTAAAATTATACAATTCAGTGGCATTAAGTGCATTTGTAATGTTGTATAATCATTACCATTATCTTGTTCTAAAGCTTGTTTATCACCCTAAACAGAAATCCTGTCCCCACTGAGCAGTCCTTCCCCATCACCTTCTGGCAGCCACTAATCTGCTTTCAGTCTGGATTTGCCTGTTGTAGATATTTCATAAGAATGGAATCTTAAAATATGTGGTTTTATGCTTGGATTCTTTTTTTTAGTTTTCAAGGGGTATTCATATATCAGTAATTCATTCATTTTATATGAATATAACTGAGTAATATTCCATTGTAGGGTTATATCACATTCTGTTTATTCATTCATCAGTTGTTGGACATTTGGGTTCTTTCTATCTTTTGCTTATTTTGAATTAGAGCTGCTATGAATATTCATGCCCAAATATTTTTATTAATACTTTTTCAGTTCTTTTGGATTATATCTAGGGGTCAAATTGCTGGGTCATATGGTAGTTCTACATTTAATTTATTAAGGAACCACCAAACTGTTTCCCACAGTGGCTGTACCATTCTATATTTCTACCAGCAATGGGTTTCAATTTCTCCATGTTCTCATTGGTATTTATTATTGTCTATCTTTTCTATGATAGCAATCCTAGTGCATGTGAAGTGATTGCTATTATAGTTTTTGTTTCCATTTCCCTAATAACTGAGGATGAGTATCTTTTCATGTCCTTATTGACCACTGGTATACCTTCTTTGGAGAAATGCCAATTCAAGTGCCCATTTTTAAATTGAGTTGTTTTTTGTTGTCAGGTTCTGAAAATTCTTTATTTTTCTAGATACTAACACTCTTACAGATACATGATTTGCAAATATTTTCTCCTATTATTTGGGTTAGCTTTCACTTTCTCCTATTATTTGTGTCTTTTAATGTGCAAAGATATTAATTCTGAAGTCTAATTTATCTATTTGTGTTGCTATTTATTTCATATGTAAGAAATCATTGTAAAAATCCAAGATTATGAAGATGTGTCTCTATGTTTTCTTCAAAGAATTTTGTAAGTTAGCACTTAAATTTGGGTATATGATCCCTTTTGAGTTAATTTTTGTATGTGGTGTGTAAAGGTCCAGCTACACTCTTTTGCCTATGGTTATCCAGGTGTCTCAGCATCACTGCTGAAGAGAGTGTTCTTTCTCCATTGAATGGTCTTGGCACCTTTGTCAAAAATCAATTGACTATAGATGTATGAGTTTATTTCTGGACTTTCACTTCTATTCCATTCATCCATATGTCTATCCTTATGGCAGTACTACACTATTTTGATTACTGCAGCTTTTCAGTAACTTTTGAAATTGGGAAATGTGGATCCTCCAACTTTGTTCTTGTTCAAGATTGTTTAGGCTATTCTGAGTCCCTTGCAATTCGATATAAATTTTAAGATTGCCTTTTCCATTTCTGAAAAAAAAAAAACCCACCATTGGATTTTGATAAGAATTATATTTAACCTGAAGATGGTGGGGGAATATTGCCATCTTAACAATATTAAGCTTTCCAATCCATGAATGTGGGGAATATTTTCACTTATTTAGGTTTTCTTTAATTTATTTCAGCAACATTACATGGTAGGAAATGACACTTGTGTTGACTTAATGTATGGAGTGAGAGGGGAAGGAAGTGACCTGAGATCGCATGTGGGCACAGGGCTCAGGCATCAAACATGGTAGCCGGTGACACTACCATAGAGAACAGAGGCAGAGAATGCAAGGGGCAGACATTGTGGAATTTAGTTTAGGTGTATTGAATGAGACACAGCACATTTGAGATATTTATACTTGGAGAGTTAACAATCTCTCTTTTAAAATACCTTACTTGCCACAAGAGTGGATGCTGTAGTAACTATCACATTCAAAGCTGAGAGCCCCTTTTCAGATTTTTTATGTCATCAAGAAAATAATATGTTTGGTATATTTTTTGATTGTATTTTTTATTGATTCAGCTGTCTCTTCACATATCAATAGGTATTATATATTTATCTCTAGTGATTAGAATCTCACTTAAAAGGATATGTGTTTCTTAATATTACCATAAGAAAAAAATCCTTTCTTTGAGTCTTAACATAGAATACAGTTGCAGTTTCCAGCTTTGGATAATGTTGACCCATTCATACTTTTGCATATACTTTTCCTTTTAAAATATTCTATAATTAACAGCACAAGTCAAGTTACCAGTATACTTGTAATCAAGTATGGAAATATTTTTCACTACTTCATTCCTATTCTCTCATGCTTCCTCTCCCCTACATACAGCCCTCCACAGACAACGTATGTTAAATGCAAATGAACAGATGACACTCAGCTCTTGTCAGCTCTTCTAGGAGGGTACATCAGACTAAATTGGAATCTGTGGTGACCTAGTACTTAGGTCATGGCATTACCTACCAACGGGTAATTTTGCATACTTTATCAGTATAATACTTAGTGTTAGCAAGACAAACTTTTTTGTTTACTATTCTCTAAATGTTTATAAAAAGACATTTTTTTTAAATTATTTTATTTTTAGGGAGCCCCGTGGCGCAGTGGTTTAGCGCTGCCTGCAGCCCAGGGCGTGATCCTGGAGACCCTGGATCGACTCCCATGTCAGGCCTCTCTGTATGATGCCTGCTTCTCTCTCTGCCTGTGTTTCTGCTCTCTCTCTCTCTCTCTCTGTCTGTCTCTTGAATAATAAATCTTAAAAAAATATTTAAAAATTAATTATTCTATTTTTAAAATGATTCTATAAACTGTCTTGACTAGTTGAGGTAAAACTCAAGGGTTTTTAAAAATCAAATCTAAAGGTGAATATATAGCATGATTCATTATAAAATATCAGAGTGATAATGATTACACAGACTTAAACAGAGGACTCTCCTACTGTAGTTGATACTGCATAGTAACTATATAAGATGAGAAACTGTCTAAACTTCATATGAATATTATTAATGACAGGACTTTCTTTTTAATTAAAATGGCAAGAATACAAATACCTCATATCAATCAGTAAAATACAGTAGTGTACAGGCTTTAATATCAACATTAAATCAAAGCCTATGGAAAGAAAAGGTAAAAGATTTAGAAAATTTTAGGAGGAATAAGAAAACATCACTAAACTTGTTACTCTACATTACAGACACCTGTCACGGGCAAAAAAATAAAATGGCAATTAAGTTGATTGCAGTACTTTAATATTTTAAAGAAAACTTATTAAAATACAGATTTTTTTTAAAAATCTTACATTCTTAACAAATATAGCATCACCTACCTTTCTAAATATGGTAGGGGTAAACACAATTGCAGAAAATGTATATTAATTAGTGGTACAATACTATGGGTTTAAAAACTCTGACAGACTCCTACTATCTGCTGTTTAAAATCAGATTATGGCCTGGAAATTATGTCAGGTTGGTTCCAAAATGGAATATTGGGTCCCAGGCCAGTATTGGTAAACTGTGCCTATTTTGGCACAACTTCTCCAGCAATGAAAGCATAAATCACAAAGAAAAAATTTAACCAACCAATTATTTGAGATATCAAGAAAGGAAAGGAAATCAGTTTTGTAAAAACACTTTTCCCTCTTTTTATAAGCTTCTTTATTTACTCGGGATAGTTAACATAACAGTGTTCAATAGTGAAGTAAGCAGATTTTACACTCACTATTACTGCATGGATAGAAAGAGCCATATGCATTTTGTTTCTATAAGTCATCTCAGATCACTGCGATATGGCACATGAGAACAGAGATTCAGAGGCACAAAGTTAATAAATACATTTAACATTGTCAAGCATTCAAAAGATAAATGCAATCATATAGCAAAAAAAAAATCAGTTTGTAACTTTGACCTTTCCCAAGGATGTGAAGAATCTTTTCATGTGTCAGAAATCTCTATAGCAAAGATTCCTATGAGAGAGAAAAAAACTGCAGATTAATATATTTAATGCAAAGATTTCACCAATATTAAAAAATGTATTTTGACATTACTTTGGCAATACTTAAAATTTTTTTCCCAGCCTCTGTGAAGGAAAATATATACAATATATCTTTTTCATTCAGCTTTCGGAAAATTTGATACACCCATAACATGAAATAATATTCAACAATAAAAATAAATGAATTATTTTTTTCTTTAAAAATTTTTTATTTAAATTCAATTTAGTTAACATATAGTGTAGTATTAGTTTCAGGGGTGCAATTTAATGATTGATCAGCTGCATATAACACCCAGTGCTCATTCTATCAAGTGCCCTTCTTAATGCCCATTACCCAGTGACCCCATTCCCCCATGCACTGCCCCTCCAGCAACCCTCAGTTTGTTTCCTATAGTTAAGAGTCCCTTATGATTGATGCATACAACAACTTGGATGGATCTCATGGGCATTGTGCTAAATTTAAAAAGCCAGTCTCAAAATGTTACATGCTATGTGTGATTCCATTTTTATAACATTCTAAAATGACAGAATTAAAGATATGGAGAACAAATTAGTGTTTGCTAGGGAGAAGGAGGGAAGGGAGGGCTGTAACTATAAAAAGGTATCATATGAGGGGAGAAGTTCCTTGGTGCTGATGAACAATATAGTATAGCATCTTGCTTGTAATTGTGGCATATGTGTGTTGTGTAGAAAACTGCACACACATACATATGAGTGCATATAAAAATGAATGAAATCTGAATAAGGCCTATGGCCTAGTTAATCATATTGTAGTGATATCAATTTCCTGGTTTGTAAGATATTGCCATTGGGAAGTTGGGGTAAGGATATCTGGGATTGTCTGTACTATTTTTGCAACCACCTATGAGACTGTAGTAATCCCAAAATAAAAAGTATAACAAAGCAAACAAAACCGTGGTACAGACATACAAGGAAATACTGCTCAGCAGTTAAAAGGAACATGCAACATCTGATCCATACAACATCCTGGATATATCTCAAATATATTGTGCTGAGTGAGAGTCAGCCACTAGAGACTATATGCATGATTCCATTTATATAGCAACCTTGAAAAGGTAAAACTATAGGGGCAGTGAACAGATCAGTAGTTGGGGAAAGTAAATTAAAGTACATTGATTATTGTCTAGATAATAGGTGGCAGTCAAAATATACCATTTAAAACTAACAGCAAAAGGTTAAGTAAGAAAAAGGGAATTAATGGCACTATTAAAATTATTAATAGAAATGTGACTAGTATAATAAATGCAGACCTTCCTGAATATCAAAAGAAATGACCAAAAGCAAATAGCCAAACTGAGAGATACAATGTCCCATGATAAACACAGTTAACATAACAGAGTTGAGACCAAATTTCACAGTCATATCAATAATGTGAAAAAATTTAACTCATTCATTATTTCAAAATGGCTCATAAAGCAAAACTTAAATCCATACTATAAATGAGAAAGATACTTAAAATGCAGTGACTCAGAAAAGCTAAAAATAAAGAGATTGACAAAGATTTGCAAGGCAGATGAAGACAATAAGTACATGCAACTCTAATACTAAACAAAGTAGACATAGACACCCAGCCCTTTCCACCTTCAAAAAATTAAATGCATCAGTAAAGCACACTTCATAAAATCCACATCCCACAATGAAGATACAACAGTTCAGAATATCCATGCAACAAATAAGACACTAAACCACCTACATAAAACAAAATTTATAGGAGATATAAAAAGAAATAAAAAAATAATAATAGGAGATTTTTAAGCATCATTCTTAGTAAAACAGGTCAAGTGAACAAAACTTAAGCAACGACAAGGACCCCTGGATGGCTCAGTGGTTGAGCTTCTGCCTTTGGCTCAGGGCGTGATCCTGCAGTTCCTGTATTGAGTCCCACATAGGGCTCCCTAGAGGGAGCCTACTCCTCCCTCTTCCTATGTCTCTGCCTCTCTCTGTGTATCTCTCATGAATAAATAAATAAAAATTTTTTTAAAAAATTAAGCAATGACATAAAAAACTAAATGAAAGCAAAAAGGTAAATCTTTTAGAAATCTATACATATATTTCTTTTTTTATACATATATTTCTGATAAGAGAGAATATATCTTCTCTGATGCACATAAACTATCCACAAAAACTGAACATGTGTTGAAGTACAAAGAAAACTTAGGTATTTTCCACAAAAAATATTATAAACAATACTCTCTAAACACAATGCAATAACACTATAAATTTAAAAATAAAATGGAAACACAAAAAGTTCTTCTTACTGAAAATTATGACTTTTATATCAAATAACTCTTAGGTAAAAGTGAAAACATAAATAGAAATTACAGAATTTCTAAAAAATCATGATAATGAAAACACTATATATCAGAATCTGTGGGATACATTTAAAGCAATGATCACTGGAAAATTCATAGAAATAAATACTTACATCAATAAAAATTAAAGAATGGCAATAAATGAGTTAAATTCCTAACTTAATATACTAAGGGGAAAAATAACAAAGTAAATAAAGCATAGGAAGGAAATAATATAAACAAAACCAGAAATTAATAAGATAAAGAAAAATAAATCAATAAGTCAAAATGCTTGTTCTTTGTAGCAATGAACAAAGTAAACAATTCACTGGCTAAGGTAACCAAGAAACAGAAGAGGAAAGCACATATACACAATTTAAAAATGACTATGGGATATGACTATTGATGCAGAGGAAATTTAAAAATTCATAAGATACAGCGTTGGTTACTTCTGTGCAAAGAAATTTAAAAACTTAGAAAGAGGCAGTTAAGTGTCTTGTGGCTCAGTTGGTTAAGTGTCTGCCTTCGGCTCAGGTCAAGATTCCAGGGTCCTGGGATAGAGCCCCACACTGGGCTCCCTGCTCAACAGAGAGTCTGCTTCTCCCTCTTCCTCTCCCCTGCTAGTACATGCTTTCCCTCTCTCTCAAATAAATAAATAAAATCTTTAAAAAAAAACTCTAAAAGAAATAATTTTTAGACAAATAGAGATAGAAAGCCTAAAACAATTTTTAAAAAACCAGAAAAATTTAACAAGGAAGTATACCTCACAAAAAAGAAGAACCAAGGCTGTGTGGTTTCACAGGTGAACCCAACCAAACCCTTAGAGATTAGATAATCACAAACTACATAAATTGTTTCAAAGCATAGTATATTAAAAACTCTCAAATTCCTTTTTTTGCAGCATATATAACATTGATATCTAAACTTGCTAAGAGAGTACAAAGAAAAAAATTATAGGCCAATATCACTTGTGAATATTGATACACAAATCTAAAATAAAATATAAGTGAACATTAAGAATAGAATACACTAAGACCAAGGTTTATACCATAAATTCAAAGATGGTTCAATATCTGAAAACCTTTTCATATAATTCACATATTAATAGTTTTTTTTTAGATTAATAGTTCTAAAGGGAAAAACCTTATCTCTATAGATGCTGAAAAAGCCCTTGAAAAAATTAAACACTCATTCCTAATAAAATAAATCTTGATAGTATAAAAATGGATAGATATAATAAAATATTTATATCTCAGTCCTAAAGCCAGCATCTTACTTTTATTTGACAAACCCTAGAGGCATTCCACTTAAGGTCAGAATCAAAACAAGGATGCCTATTTTCTCCACTACTATTTATCATTATTCTGAAGATATCAGCTATTGCAATTAACTAGACAATGCAATTCGAGAGATAAAAAAAAGGAGAAGAAGAAATAAAATGATCTCTTTTTTGCAGGTGACATGATAATATATCTGGACTCCCCTAAAGAATCTATGCCAAAACTTAATGAAAGAATAAAAAAATTTTAGCAAGGGCAGCCCTGGTGGCTCAGCGGTTTAGCACCACCTTCAGTCCAGGGCGTGATCCTGGAGACCGGGATGGAGTCCCACATCGGGCTCCCTGCATGGAGCCTACTTCTCCCTCTGCCTATGTCTCTGCCTCTCTCTCTCTCTCTCTCTCTCTGTCTCTCATGAATAAATAAATAAAATCTTTTAAAAAATTTAGCAAGATAACATGATAAATTAACATGCAAAAAGAGTATTTTTTTAAGATAAAATGGGGAGAATAACCTGAAGATAAAATATTTAGGAATAAACTTAAGAATGTTCAAAACTGATAAAAAGAAAACTACAACTCATTCTTGAATGACACAAAGTGACTGAAAAAATGGAAAGACATCTCTCTTTTTTGGGTTAGGACAGCTCAACATTACTAAGATGTCAGTTATCCCCAAGTTAATTTATAAATTGAATGTGATGCTAATAAAAATTCCAACAGGCTTTTTAAGATGGAGCTAGACAAGCTGACCCTAAATTTTATGTGGAAAATAAACTCACATGAAATTAAGCAAATACTTAAAAGTAAGAGCTCTTATAGGCACTAGCCTATTGGTATGCTGGAACTGGCTCACAGCTGATTGTAAACATTCAGGAATTTTGTGACCCGGTGGTTAAACCAGCATGGTACTTTGAAACTGTGCAATGTATGTATAGACTCGTGTAATCACTGTATTATATACCTGAGACTAGGATAACAATGTATGTCAACTACACTTCAATAAAGAAGAAAGAAACAAGTAAACTAACTGGCCAGGAAACTGGCCACAGTGGGCAGTTTACACCAATGAAATTGATAAATGCTACAAATAAGGGCTTTTCCCTCCCCTTCTTTGAAGAGCCAGTTTACCAGCCATCAGAATAGTCCTAAAAAATAAAAAAACATGGAGCCTTTGTAATGTAAAGGAATATGGGGGACATGAGATGGAAGGCATTCAGGAGAAAGTAACAATTGTATATTACTTTTTGCAGAGTTTTGACTTTAAAAGTATATGAATCTACATATTCAAAAATACAACTAAATCAAGGAAAAAACGAGGAAGGGGGAAATAAAAATGAAAGCAAATTGAAGTAAAGGAATCTAATGTTATTTTAAATGCATATCATAATCACAGCAAAAAGGGAAAAAAGAAATTAATCCAAGTAATTTATAAACTTAGTATTTGACTATATACCCTCAAGATTTGGGCAAAGTAGTGCACAGGAATTACAAATGGACCATGAACTTTTAAGTGGTCTGTTTAATGTAGTGACATAGGTGGAGAAATTTTGAAGCTATTTTAAATGTATTCTGGGTAACTATGTGCATACTGTTGATAAACATGTTGATGTTGAACCAGGGTTCTCAACTGTAGAAGAAAGAACACACAAATACAAAATGGAAAAAGGGAAGGAGCAAATCTGGGAGGATAGTTAGGAACTGGAGATACTGGTTATGTTTTTAAAATGTGTATATGCGTGCGTGTGCATGCACCTGTGTGCAAGGAGAGAGAGGGAACATATGCAAAAATGTGAGTACATAAGACAGCAGTTGTCTCTAACACAGAGAAAACAAATGGGGTAAAACTTTAACAACAGTGAGTATGGGTAAAAGGTATACAGTCGTTTTCTGCATTAGTTTATTTTTATAACTTCTTTTAAGTTTGAATTTATTTCCAAATATAAATGCTTTTACAAAATTTGTGACATATAGGACTACATCTAAAATATTTTCCTCTGAAAAATAAACTATGTCCCTAAAGCATATTATGGTACTATAATAATTAATCAATATTTTACTAATGAAAGCATATGGAAAATTTAAGTTTTAGAATAAAGTCAGATTTTAAAAATATAATTTATGTAAATATTAGATAGAATAAAGATCTTTCATTTTAGAAAATTTATATAAAACCAATGATTAAAATATTTTTATGTCTACATACCTTACCATGTAATTGTGTTTAAATAGCACTATTAATGATAAATTAATTTGAACTTACTCCCTCAAATATTCACTGTACGTTGCTATATGGTCCCCAGAGAATGGATCTTTGAACTACTTACTCTTCTAATGATCGATCTAGGCCTCGGTCAGGAGATCGATGGTGAGTACGTTCTGGTGAATGACATTTTGTATTTGGCTTTATTGTAGAACTCATATGATAAGCAGTACTTGAGTAATTCTGGCGGCGAAGTTCTTGTACAGCCCTCTCTCTGAAGCAAAATAGTGAGGCTTTTAAACTTTATATCCAGTGATATTATTAATACTGTCATAAAACTGTAGTTCGGTTCATACTTTAAAAGCTAAGCATCATGAAATTACCAGAATCTGTTGTTATCTAAAAAACAATGCCTTCCAGATTTTCAAACATTGCATAAAGACAAACTTACCTTTCAAAGCGTTCCGTCCCTAGTTGTCGTTTGGTAATGTCTAAATCGGCTTCCAATTGTGTTACAACATTTCTGAACTGGGCCACGTCTCTACTCTGGATGGCCCTGTATAAAAAAGTGTGACAGTTGATTAAATTTAAAGTACAGCTAGGACTTCTAGAGTACATTAAACCATGTTGGCCATGGTTCCTTAGCTGGAACAAAGCCAAACTGTGATTTTTATGGTTGTATTAGTACATCTAAAATATGCCAATTTTAGATGTAGTAAATATGAAAGTAGTCTGCTTGAAAAGACTAAGCTGTCCCAGTCCCATTCAATTAGTTAAACCTTATCTGTTTCCCTATGTTTAGATGGGATAATATTACCTATTATCTATCTATATTATCTATTTTTAAAGTACTCTAAGGTATTATATGCAAAGTAGTATTATAACCAAATAATCAACATTGTGATTAGTCCTATTATATATATTTATGAAATCAACCAAGTATGTGTGTTGTTTTTTTTTTAATTCATGAGAGACACAGAGAGAGAGAGAGGTAGAGACATAGGCAGACAGAAGGAGAAGCAGGCTCTATGAGGGAGCCTGACACGGGACTCGATCCCGGGACTCCAGGATCATGCGCTGGGCTGAAGGCAAACCACTCAATCGCTGAGCCACCCAGGCGTCCCAAACCAAGTGTTTTGTATATACTTATAATGAAATTTGATTCATGCAATTCATAATGAAATTTGATATACAAACTGTTAAAAATGTAATATGTCTTCAATTTAACAGGATCCTCCTTAGGGACAATCAATGCCTCAAAAACCCTCTGATAAGGCACATTATCATAAGAAGGATGATGAAAGCAATGAATGCTGCTTGCACAGAACATTCTATCCTCTTTGCTTGCCTTCAGGACAGTACTGTTGACTGCTGAAATATAAACTTTATAGAGATTAAGAACACAAAAGTTTATTATGCTTACCAGTTCTAAATGATTGTACTTACCAACCAGTCTAAAACACAATGTACCCCTAAAGGTGGGGGGCGGGGAGGTTGGGCATATCTCATTAGGGTAGATTTCCACCTAACAGCTTGAGCAAGTGATTGAAAACCAGTTGAAAATATTACAAAACCAGTTGAAAATATTACAAAATCCCAGCTACAGTGACTAAAAAGAATGACTCACAGCTGCCATAACCTGAAAACAGTTTCTCAAGGAAACTGGCCTTGGCTTTGTAGCCTTTGCTCAGTCAGGTGCTCCCAGGAATGACTAATTCCTGAGACCATGATTCCTATCCTTCCCCAGGTCCCATGATCAGATGGGAGGGCAGAGTTGAAGCTGATGTTATAGATGGGACACATAACAACAGAGGCTAATAGTCCCCATCAGTTTTTGTGAGAAGTCACCAAATTTAATAATAAAACATTCACTATCCAGGCAGGCATTTCTGCCCAACCTTCTAGCCAATGGTCTTATAGTAAGATGCTAATGGTGCTAGGGATGCTTAAAAAAAAAAAAAAAACAAAAAAAACAAAATCAAAATCAGTGTCCTAAAGGTCTTTAGTATTCTATGGGAGTTCTTCCAGGTACCCAATATATACTTACAGGTATATAAGGAAATACTCTGAGACAAGTCTAAAGTCTAGGCAGCAATACCAGGTGGGTCCATAAACAGAAAAATTATTCTGGTTTCGGAAGTGCTTAATTTTTTTCCAAAAACTTGCTGTAATATTTCTAAAAGGTAATATTTTAGGTCAGATATTCTATTATATCCAAAGCTCTGATGGTTAAATTTAACCATCAACAAAGATGGTTAACTTAAAAAAAAATTTTTTTTGGTTAACTTAAATTTAACTATCATCTTTGTTGATGGTTAAATTTAAGTTTAGGTAAATTCAGATAAACATATAATAGAAATGAGTACTATATCTTGGGCAAATCCCAATATTTCTGGTCCTCAGTTTAATGAATGGCACTAAATTGTCTAAATTCCAGCTTTAAAATTCTACTAACCTATAGAATTCTACTAACCTATCAACAATTTTAAAAATATGACTTTATGCTATTATATTGCTAATCAACTCACATTTTATTTTCTGCCAAACAAAGGTGTTCTTTAAGAAGCTGAATTTCGGATTCTTTTTCTTGAAGCGCTATCTGAGACTGATATTCTTTGTCTCGATTGGCCACCAGCAAAGCTTCTAGATTCTGCATGGAGATTCTCTCATTTGTCATCTGACTCCTGAGGAGTTCTATTTCAGAGCGAGCAGAATCTAACTCATTCTCCATCTGTATGATAATAGGAAGATATCTATATTTATTCCCATTCATTTAACTGATCTATTATCAGAGACTCATGAATTTCTGTATTATGTTATAAACCAACAACCTCTTTTAATTTCTTAATTAGAAATTATGTCCTTCTTACCAAACACACATATACACACAGTATCACTTTCTCCAACTCTCTAATCATATCAAAAATTCATTAATTTAAGACTTATTAATAATTCCAAACTGCAAACAACTTCCATTTCTATCATTAATATTTCTTTATATATTTCTGCAAGACTGACATGATTTCTGCTTTGTCCTGAGTTAGGTGAGTTACAAACACCTAACTACCTTATAGAATATTTTGTACTTCATAGTTAAGGAAGATAAGGAATAAAATCATATTCCCTCTCTTGCATAAACCTGTGGTAAGCTTAATTTTTTGAAAGTTATCTTAGCCTCAAAAATGCTCTCTAAGCCAAATGTTTTTTCAAAAGGAGGATATTGCTATTTAGGAAAAAAAAGTATTCTTTATATCATAATTACTCATTATAATAAGTTCTACATGTATGTAAAAAGTTAGACATGAAAAAAATAAAATTCTAAGAAAGAATTTAATAAAAATGAAATTACTGGGGTAGGAGTGAGCACATAGGGGAAGAACTGTCTAGACTAGATACAGTTAAAAATGATATATAACCAAATAAACTTATCAATAGTCAATGTAAGCCTAAATTTACAAGGAAACAACTGAAAGAATATAAACTCAGTTTGTATGATGACAAGTAGTAATTACACTTGTGGTGAGCACAGCCTCATGTAGAACCTTGTTGAATCAATACATTGTACACTTGAAACTAATGCAACATTGTGTGTAAACTATACTCAAGTTTTTAAAAATTATTTATTCTTAAAGATTTTATTTATTTATTCATGAGAGACACACAGAGAGAGAATGGCAGAGACAAAGGCAGAGGGAGAAGCAGGCTTTATGCAGGGAGCCCAACATCGATCCCGGATCTTCAGGATCACACCTTGGGATGAAGACGGTGCTAAACTGCTCAGCCACCCATGCTGCCCTAAAAATAAATTTTTAAAGAAACTCAATAAATACAATGGTTAAATCTTACTATCAAAAGGAACTCATATGAATTGATGAGAAATATGAACTAATGGTATAAACAGAAGATTTACAAAATACAACTCATTAGTAAACATACAGGGAAAAAAATTACCCCTACTAATACCTAAATGAATACAAATGAAACAAGATGTTCTTTTAGTCCAGGATTTCTTTATCTTGACACTACTGACCTTTTGGGTTGGATAATTATTTGGTCGAGGAACGTGTCTTATGCATTATAGGATATATGCTCTACTCATTAGAGATCAATAGCATCCTCCTACCCCATATGGGACAATCAAAAATGTCTCCAGGGTGCCTTGGTGGCTCAGTCTTAAGTGTCTGATTTCATCTCAGGTCACCATTTTAGGGTTCTGGGATCAGAGCCCTGTGTCATGCTCCGTGCTCAGCAGGAAGTCAGCTTCTCTCTCTCTCTCTCTCTTCTGCCCCTCCCCCCACTTGTGCATGCTCTCTCTCTCTCAAATAAATAAATAAATAATCTTTTAAAAAACAAGTCTCTAGACATTGCTAAATGGCCACATGGAAGCAAAATCTCTTTCACCTGAACCATGGTTATAATTTATCAGATTGGCAAATTTCTTAGGGCATATTAACATTAAAATAAGCAAAGTAATTTCATACACTCTGCCAGCAGGAATACAAAATGGAGCATCACTTTTTTTGGCAATAGCTTTATTGGATTATAATTTACATACCACACAACTCACCCACTTAAAGGTACAATTCAACTGGTTTTTTTTGTTTCTTTTTATTTAAATTCCAGTTAGTTAACACATAGTGAATATTAGTTTCAAGAGTAGAATTTAGTGATACATCACTTACATACAACACCCAGTACTCATCACAAGTGCCTTCCTTAATACCCATCACTCATTTATACCATCTCCTGTCCACCTGCTCTCCAGCAACCCTTAGTTTGTTCTCTGTAGTTAAGAGTCTCTTCTATGGTTTACTCCCTCTCTTCTTTTTCTTTTCCCTTGTTCATCTGTTTTGTTTCTTAAATTCCACATAGGAGTAAAATCATATCATATTTGTCCTTTTCAAATTGACTTATATTTAGCTTAGCATAATACACTCTAGCTCCATCCACATAATTACAAATGGCAAGATTTTGTTCTCTTTTATGGCTGAGAAATAATGATGCCGAAAAAGTATTTGACAAAACACAACATCCTTTCTTGATAAACACTCTCCACAAAGCAGGGATAGAGGAAACATACCTCAACACCATAAAGGCCATATATGAAAGACCCACAGCTAATATCATCCTCCATGGGGAAAAACAGAGCTTTCCCCCTAAGATCAGGAACATGACAGGGATGTCCACGCTCACCACTGTTGTTCAACATAGTACTGGAAATCCTTGCCTCAGCAATCAGACAACAAAGAAATAAAAGGCATCCAAATCAGCAAAGAGGAAGTCAAACTTTTGAGCTTTGCAGAAGACATGATATCTATATAGAAAACCCAAAAGACTCCACCAAAAAATTGCTAGAACTAATAAGGAATTCACTAAAGTCATAGGGATATAAAAATCTGTTGCATTTCTATACATCAACAACAAAGCAGAAGGAAGAGAAATCAAGGAAGCAATCCCATTTACCACTGCACCCAAAGCCATAAGATACCTAGGAATAAACCTAACCAAAAGTAAAAGACCTGTACTCTGAAAACTACAGAAAACTTATGAAAGAAATTGAAGATGACACGAAGAAATAGAAGAACATCCCAGGCTCATAGATTGGAAGAGCAAATTTTGTTAAAATGTCTAACTATCCAAAACAATCTACACATTTCATGCAATCTCTATCAAAATACCACCAGCATTTTTCACAGAGCTAGAGCTAACAATCCTAAAATTTGCATGAAACCACAAAATATCCCGAAGAGCAAAGCAATCTTGAAAAAGAAAAGTAAAGCTAGAGCCATCACAGTTCTAAACTTTAAGCTATATTACAAAGCTGTAGTCATCAAGACAGAATGGTACTGGCACAAAGATCCATAGATCAATGGAACAGGATAGGAAACCCAGAAATGGATCCACAACTACATGGTTAACTAATCTTTGACAAAGCAGGAAAGACTACCCAATGGAAAAAAGTCTTTTCCACAAATGGTGTTGGAAAAATTGAGGAAATCTTCTTAATCTATTTTTTCTTCTGTGGCTTATGCTTTTGATGTAGATCTAAGAAAGCATTACCTGGGCAGCCTGGGTGGCTCAGTGGTTTAGCGCTGCCTTCAGCCCAGGGCATGATCCTGGAGACCCAGGATCGAGTCCCACATCAGGCTCCCTGCATGGAGCCTGCTTCTCCCTCTGCCTGTGTCTCTGCCTCTCTCTCTCTCATGAATAAATAAATAAAATCTTAAAAAAAAAAAGCATTATCGAACCCAAGGTCACAAAGATTTACTTCCATGTTTTCTCATTAAGAGTTTTGTAATTTTAGCTCTTATATACAGGCCTATAACCCACTTTAATTACTGCATATGGTATGTGATAAGAATCCAACTTCATTCTTTTCCATGTAGATGTATTGTATTGGCATCGATTTTTTGAAAACCATTTGACTACAAATTTAAGAGTTTATTTCTGGATTCTCAATTATGTTCCACTGGCTTGTATGTCTTTTTTTCATGCTGATATTACACTATATGGATTACTGTACTTCTATAGCCAGTTTTGAAATTGGGAAGTATTGTTAGTTCTGATTTTGTTCTTTTTCAAGATTGTTTTGGCTACTCTGGGTCACTTGAGCTTGCATATTAATCTTACATCATCTTGGCAATTTCTACAAAGAAACCAACTTCTTCTGATAGGCATTGTATTGGATCTATAGATCAATTTGGGGTTGTGTTGCCCTTTAACAATGTTCAGTCTTCTAATCCATGAATACAGGATGTCTATTTACTTAGGTCTTTTAAAAAAAATTTTAACAATGTTTTCTTAGAATTTTTTTTTATGATAGTCACAGAGAGAGAGAGAGAGAGGCAGAGACACAGACAGAGGAAGAAGCAGGCTCCATGCACCGGGAGCCCGACGCGGGATTCGATCCCGGGTCTCCAGGATCGCGCCCTGGGCCAAAGGCAGGTGCCAAACCGCTGCGCCACCCAGGGATCCCTTAACGATGTTTTCTAGTTTTGTAAAGCACAAGTTTTGCACTTCCTTTTTATTTATTTAATTTTTCCTTATTTCATATTTATTATTCTTATTATTGTTGTTATTATTACATCCATACAGGGAAAGGAGAGAAAATGAGTAGGAAATATCAGAAAGGGTGACAGAACATGAGAGACTCCTAACTCTGGGAAATGAACAAGGGGTAGTGGAAGGAGAGGTGGGTGGGGGGATGGGGTGACTTGGTGACGGGCACTGAGGGGGGCACTTGATGGGATGAGCACTGGGTGTTATACACTATATTGGCAAATTTGAACTCCAATAAAAAAATATACAAAAAATAAAAATAGATAAAAATAAAAATTAGAGCTACCCTATGACCCAGCAATTGCACTGCTGGGGAGTTACCCCAAAGATACAGATGCTTGAAAGACCACGACACCTGCACCCCCCATGTTTATAGCAGCAATGTCCACAGTGGCCAAACTGTGGAAGGAGCTTTGGTGTCCATTGAAAGATGAATGGATAAAAAAGATGTGAGATATATATATAAAAAAGAATATTACTCAAGCATTAGAAACAATGAATATTTTTTATTTATTTAATTTAAATTCAATTTGCCAACATATAGTATAACACCGAGTGTACTTCTTTTGTTAAATTTATACCTAAGTATTTTATCTCCTCTTGGTGCAATCCCTTTGGATGCAATCCCATTTGATGGAATTGTTTTATTTTCATCTTTGGATTGTTCATTGC